CACCTATTAAGCAATCAGTTTTCCTTTTTTTATACATTTCTAAATTAAGCCTATGTATTCTTTTGTCTAACAATAGGGCTGAGTGAGAAGCGAAGGAAGATGGAAGCTGCTCGTTTGGAACGCGAACTTCAAGAAGCTAGTATTGCCACAGGCTTGCCTGTCGACGTTACCCAAGTGAGACAAAGAGAGGTAGATTGGCTCTCTGGACAAGAGGATGAGAATGCTTTAACAGAAACTAAAGTATCCGAAGATAAAGTGACTGAAAATGGAAAACAAGAGTCAAAGGACAACCATGTTGGATACCATGCCTCTTTAGCAAGTGAGAGTGAGGTGCAAATAGATATTGATCCGGACTATTCTATGGAAAGAGAAGTTGATGCGAGACAAGAGGAGGAGGAACTTGAAGAGAAACTGAGTGAATGTGCTGGAGATTATAATGAAGAATGGAAATCGAAAGAAGGCCTTGGTACCAGCAATGCTTACATTTTTAATAAAGGCATTAGAACGAAGGAGGAAAACAGAATAAATGAAGACAAAGTGGGACAGCAGAATCAAGAGCTTAACTTTCAGGATGACTTAAAAAAATGTATTATTGTCGAGGGGGAAGAAGAAATTAGCAAGCTGGATAGCTCCACAACAAACATTCAGGAAAACTGTGTTGATGGGCCCGCCCAGTGGTTAGATGAGGCGTACAATACTAATAAACGAAACAGCATGAAATCTTGTGGTGATGCGATAACAGAAAAGAATGGACGAACGCTTTTAGGGCTAGGTGACAAATTGGGGCAACTCGATACTTGCATTGCTGAAACTGAGTCTTTGGAAATTCGCTCATCAAGTGATCAGGAAGAATCATACAAAAGCGATCCCTATCAGACCAATGCTGATAAGGTAATATTTCTTGTTAGAATTCTTCGTATACCACCATAATTATTTTTTATGTTCTTTTAGGTTGGAGTCTGGCAGTTAACCAACCCCAGGGAAATAGTAAAAAGGCCTTGGTTTTGTATTTAAATTAATTATTTTTATTAAAACTGTCGCTGGATTTATATTAATAATAAGACGAATTTGCCACTTCGAGTGGATCATAACTGAGAAATATAGTCACCCTAAGTAAAATAAGGTGATGAAGATTAAATATTTTCCCATAATACCATTTAATTTCAGCTAGCTGTGCTTCCCAAAAGGTATTCTTACCCAGATTGAACTGCAGTCTAGACCTTACCTAGGACCGAGGGAATTCGAACCCTAGTTATTTAGGGCATATTTTAGACATGATTGTTACATCACATTGCTACAAGAAGCGGTGGTGTAAGTCATATAAGGTGAAGCAAAGTGGAGATGCGAATTATTTGAGGGAATATAACTAGTCCCTCGATTGTGCAGATGTGGTTTAATATTATTTTAATTATCTCAAGATGAATCATAATAAAATTATCTCTGCTAAATCATACAATGAAGACATGTTGCTTATCAATTGTAGAATTGGTTATTCGATTTGAGTATTTTTTAGGGGCTTAACTCACGATATATTCATATTTAGTGGATTTTATACTAGCATTTGAGCTTGAATAAGTGATTAGGGACTAATAGTTGAATTTTCACACAATTAGATTTTTAGGCCTAGAGATGACTGTG